TTTGTAAAGAATACTTGCAAACTTCCATTCGGAGGATAATATACAGAGTGTTTCATATTTGATCCTCACCATAAGGATCTCGGAAAATGAGAGATACGAAGATGGTTGAATTGGGAACAAGTTACGCATTCGCCTGACTAATAATAAGTTGTTGGGAAAGTCGTGAAATTCCGAGTACATCCGGAGGTATCCAGAAAAAACAGAAATTTCGGAAAATGGTTTTAATTTTTTATGGCTATATTTTTCGAAGGATTCGAAAATATATTGAACTTTCACGGTACAACTGTTTCCCTGCTACATAATGGTGTTTTCAGATTTGCTATCCGACATTTCGTCCTCCGGTCATCACTATCAACTTTATTTTTTTCTCATAGGCGCTACATTAGATTTTTTCTGTTTTGAATATAACCAGATTTTACCTTTTCAATGATGTATCATGAGTTATCATTCTTTTTCGAAAAATTGGAGATATCGAAAACAATTAATATTTATCATAATAGGCTTTGACTATAATGTTTTCAAATTTGACTTTCAATTTGTTACACTCAATGACATTTTGTTATTGTACAAGTCATTGACTTTTTGGCTTTCACGAATGAAGAAAATAAGACATATTTATGATATAAATATATTACAAATACGAAAGAAACAGTGTTCGGACATCGGAAATGTATTAAACTTGTATTCCGAAAGACGGCAACCATATCGAACTATGGTAAAGTTATTGGATCAAAATCTTACCGAGATTGGTTCATTTGAAATGAAAAGCCGAGGAAAAAATACGGAGACAGAATGGACCAGAAAACTAAAGAAAATTTGATAAATGATGTATGTATGAGGTAAGTTAGTCATTGTGTTCTTTTCAATAAAAATTTATAATTTGCAAATAAACATCAACCCGGAAAAATCTCAACGTCAAATTTTCTCCGAAATGAATATTTGTCATTTAAGTGCTTGGAGACATCTCAAAGAAAGCGGTTTAAAATGTTACAAAATACTCATAACTCAAAAATTGCATACAGGTGATCCCGAAAGTCGATTAGAATTTTGTAATCGGTTATAAAGAAGACTTGATTTTTCTGTTTTCCTAGAAAATGTAATTTGGACAGATAAAAGCACTTTTACGAATTGTAGGGTATTCATAATTTTGGGTTCTCATTTATTTGACGGAATTCTCAATGGAGACACCTATCACCAGTTTCTAATGTCGATTTTCGAAAACTATTTGGATTATATACTTTTGGCTAACTATAACAACATCTGGTTTCAACATGATGGTGCTCCACCGCACACTAACAGACGAGTATCTAATCACCTGACTGACAGGTTTGGTGATAAATGGATAGGGAATAATGGGCCGGGGTGGTGGCCTGCAAGGTCTACAGACTCAAGTGTTATGGATACATTCTTATAGGGTACACTGAAGAATAAAGTTTATGGTCAGATGGAATATCAAAATACTGAAGACCAGCAACACAGCTTTGATAGAGAGTGAATAATTCGTGCAGTGAATAATTTTCCTAAAAGGTGAGAGTTGTGTTATCATGAACGAGGCCAGCATTTCGAAAATTTGCTGTGATTTACTTTTGTCTTTACATTTTAGTTACTCATTGGCTTTTCAAACGAACCAAACTCTGTGAGATTTTGATACAATAACTTGAACATAGTTCGATGTAGTTGTCGTCTATCGGGATACAAGTTTAAATACATTTTCGATGTCCTGAAACTGTTTCTATCGTCTTTGTAATGAATGTGTATCATGTCTCTGTTTTCTTCATTCGTGAAAGCCAAAAATTCAGTTAGTTGTACCATAACAAAATGTCATTGAGTGTAACTAATTGAAAGTAAAATTTAGAAACATCAAAGTCAAAGCCCATTATGATAAGGTTTTTTTTAATATCTCCAATTTTCAGAAAAAGAATGATAACATGTGATATATCATTGAAAAGGCAAAATCAGGTTCTATTCAAAACAGATAGAATCCAATATAGCGCCCATAAGAAAAAATAAAGTTGATGATGGTGGCCGGAAGACGAAACGTCGGATAGCAAATATGAATACATCATTATGTGGCAAAAAAAATGGCAATATGATGGTGCAATTTATTTTCGAATCCTTTGAAAAATAAAGCCAGAAAAAATTAAAAGCGTTTTACGAAATGTCTGTTTGTTCCAAATATCCCCGGATTTACTCGGAATTTCAGAACGTTCTCAACAGTATATTGTTAGTCAGGTAAATACGCAACTTTGCCCCAATTTAACCATCTCCGTATCTCACATAGTTTCCGAGATCCCAATAGTGAGGATCGAATTCGAAACACCCTGTATACATGAAACCAAATACACTATATTGCCTAGCACATTCGAAATGATTGAATAATGATAACCCACATATGTCATTTCTAGATTTTCCTTTTGTACCGTCTTTGCCATAAATAGCAGCTCCTCGATGGCTGCTTTTTTCTCTACAGAAGCTGGATATCAGATTATAATTCGTCAGATCCATCACCCTCAACTCCTCTTCAAAACACCAATGTTCGGTCAAACATAGAAAGTTTATATCAACACTAGTCAAAAAAACCAATTCATTTCTACTGGTATTGAGACACTGTATATTTTGATGAAGTAGACCTGCACTATTTCTCTCGTCAATGATTTTGGTATTTACAGCTAGATCTAGATTTGGGAGAATTTGGGATATAAAAAATTTTAGTGATTGTTCTCAAGTTAGTAATCCTCTAGTCGGGAAATTTGTGGATCTAGAGGTCTTGCGTCTAGTGATGAATCATCATAAGAAATTTCAAACTGCTTGTCGCTCTCTGACAGGATATTCACTTCAGTTCCTGACTGGATAGATGAACTGAACAGATTCATAAATTGATGTTGTTTAGCAAGAACCAGATTTTCATTTGTTACTCTCAACTGATTGTTCAGTTGATTTAGTATTGAATAACAGCTCAATGTATTTAGCTAATGCATTACTTGTGTAAATAATATCAGGTTTCTTGAACAGGTTTTAGCATTTTTTGGTTGTTATTTTGTTGGAGATGATTGTTGCATTCAAAAATTCGTACTGAGGAGTCTGAGTCTGAGAGCTTCTTTATTAATTCCGTTGCGGTTTTGGTTAAGATATTCTCACTCTACTTGATGATGTGCCTGATTTGCAAGATAGTGAGCCATATCACTTTCATCAAAGTTTGTAACCAAAAATATTTTATTTTTGACTACAAGTTTTCTGTTCACGACTCAACAGGTTCATTAAGAATAGATTGATGTTTTCTTTGATCACAAAATTGGGTAAATTCATTTGGTGTATTTCGATCAATTTCATCACCGCCAATGGTTTGAATATCTGTTATCTTAAATTTATCAATCAGCAAAGTAGCGGTTGGTGTATCAACATAGTTGAATGGAACTTTTCTACTGATCTGTTAAGGGCAGCTCCTTGATATAACTACCATATTTTCAACTATGGTTTTTGACTTTCTATCAGCTTGGACATCTCCGATTTTGTATCCAGTGCTTGTTGAACATAGTAATCTTCTCATTTCCTCAATTTTTCAATATATTTTTCCCATATCACCATCTTCCATCAGATCATTTATTGTTTGTTCCAGTTTGCTTGTCTTCTCTTCAATCTCGGATAAACTTTCATCTTTCTCTCTGCAGGAGATAATTTTGTTACCGGTTAAAAAAAAGCAACCTTTTTCCTAGAATTTGAAAGGATACAACTTTTGTGAAAAACATTTGATCACTTAGTACAAACATAATGCGAAAACGGTTTATTTTTGCAGCATTCATAATTGGTGCTCACAGAGATCTGTGGTTGCATGTTGCTTGTTTGCTGGAATATACTAAACTCCAACCAATCGTGAACTCCAAAGTGATCGATGGCGATCAACCAATTCTTTCAGTTCATCATTACGAAAAACATAATCTCAGGGTGATCCAAAAGTACTTTGACAAACTTCAGAAGGCGATTCCTCACAATATTCTAATATGAATTGTCCAAATAAATAAATGTATTTTCCGTTTCCGGACATTTTTTTTTTCAAATAGCTTTTGAAATACTGAACTTAATCAAACGAAACTTGGTAATAGGAAGTTTTTGAGGTGTCGAATTCGAACCTGATGTTCTTATTGCTCTTACTTGTAGGGGGCGCCACCTACAAATATTTTTCTTTTTTAAAGATTCATAACTTTTTTGGGCGTACTTCTAGCACATTTTTCAGTAAAAAAATCGATTCCTCTATNGCCCCCTACGAGTGAGAGCAATAAGAACATCAGGTTCGAATTCGACACCTCAAACACCTCCTATTACCAAGTTTCGTTTTAAACGATAGCATCTTCTGGCGCCAACTCCGTGGCGTCATTCAAGGTCAATGTGGAATGGTGTAGGTCCTCAACCAACCATAGACGACTACTAACTTGGTGAAATGCGAGTCAGTAACAGTATTACAATCCTGGTAATTGAAAAAATGCTCGTTTCGGATCTGCTCTGTTGACTTAAATTGCAGCGGGATATTTCAAAAGTCATTCCTTACAAGTACAACATTTTGTAGAACCTAAGAAGTGGATCAACTATTCAAAATATACAATAAAACTTTGACACTAGTTTACGATAGATTCACCAACCGAATTGGCTCTCTTAGCAGAAAGTAATAGAAAACTTTCAGTATGTGGGAAGAGTGGTTTCGATGGAGTTATACTACGCAAGAGTTTCCAATGTAAATTTACAGTATGCGCAAGTTGAATAATTAATTTTAACCCAATTATGTCCAAGAAGTGTTAGTCCAGTTGCCTTTCTAAATTTTCTTAAATGACACTCTTCATGACCGACGGAGGTTGCGAACAAGTTTACATGAAAATTCATGTTTGATACATTAACAAATCGTTTTCAATTGGGTTTTTTCACTTTTTTTCATAGAATAATAATTCTTTTAGCAATGCATTTTTCCTCTTCTGGTGAAAATAAAAAATGTATGTGAATATGAATATTTCAGTGGGGAAATATCAGCATGGATCCAGACACGATAGAAAAAAGGTCGTCCCCAGTAGCAAGTATTGTATTTGAGGCATCAACTCAAACTCCAACCAATGAAATATACGATTCTCCGTTATTTACCACTAAAGGCTATTGCCTCAAATCTTCTGGACACAGCAATCAGGCTTTGACTAATATACACCGTATGAGACAGCACGGACAGGTAAGAATCGATCAGTAGTAACTGCATGTTGATTACGACAATATCATCAAAATTCATAAGAACCATCTTCATATCATTGGTCATGTTTGAATGATTTGCTCAGGAATGTGTAGAATTTTTTGGTGTGAAAAATTTTGTTCGATTTGCAATGCTAAGATCACAGTTAGTAGATAATCTAGAGCAGTGAAAATTCCACGAAATGTCTTGTTATCTGAAATAATCTTGTGAAATATTCAAGCACGAAAAAGTTGAAGTACCTTCACAAATGTTGGAAGTTCAGGTTTCTGGATATGAATTGAAAAAAATAAATGAAAAAAGTGTTTTATGTTGGCTGGTTTCATTAAAAAAAATAATAATGATGTAGATAATGTACTTAAACCTAAAAAATAATTCGGGAGATTCTAGGTAGCCGTCATCACACCATTCGCTTCAACAATCTACGTTATTGATCAGATAAAAAATAATAATATCGTTGGGAGTAGCTTGACCTGAGTAAATATGTGAATACTACGCCCAATAAATTTATTATTTTTTTATCTGATTAATACCGTAGGTTGCTGGAGGTAGTGGTATGATGACTGTAACCTTAGACCTTCCGAATCATTTCTCAGCTTTTAGTACATTACCTACATCATTGTTATCTTTTTTTTTCAATAAAATCGTTCAACATATTATTTTTTCATTATTCTTCCAATTTTGTAACTAAATTATTTCCATTCAGTTCAGTTCATTCAGTGCCTCAGTGTCACAAGGTTCATTTTCCAACAATTCGTTGCAATCTAACTTCTCTATACGTTTTTTAGCTGCGACCATCTTGAATTTGCGTCTTATTCAAAGAGTACTACTATTTTACTAGTCAAGCTCTGTCATTTGATACCCATATTGAGGTAGTTGTGTAAATATTTGTAAACCGCCATTTTCATATATGCGTTATTNCTAGGTTCCTTAACTTGTAAAATTATTTATACAATGGAAGTCTGCACCTCCAATATGCAACTATGAATATTGTCAACCATTTCCAACAGAAAGTTTTGATTATTATCATAAAGTAATACTCCCATTCTGGTTTTCATAAAGAAATATTTTCATTAAAAATGCATTGAATTGTTCAGAACCTAAAGGTTTGTATGAAAATAACAACAAATATTTTAAGAAACACAAGAAGTTATTCGGAGCTGTTCGAAAATGATAGCTCAAGATGTTATTTCTAGAATTTTTCAAACGTTAGTACTATTATATTGAATATCGATTAGGATTGTTTCATCTACAGCTGGATATTTTACACAAATGATGCTCAAAACATAACGATCATCTATACCAGAAAATTTGATAGATTCGGGTTGGAATTGTGATAATCAATGACATTAGTATTATTTACTTCTTGTATCAAATCGTCTATGAAAAGTCAAAATTTTTCTAAATAACTATCACACGTGTTTCAATAGCTTTCTCAGTCGTGTTCAATACTACCCTATATTATACGTAGTGCACCTTAATATATGTCTAATTTGAATGACAAAACGAATTCAATATTTGTAAATCATGGCAAGGGGGCATGCATGAGATCAATCATGATTACCACGATTCGTGAGAGAAAAGATTGAAATTCTATTTTTGGAAATACTCAGAAATTAGTAGTTTCGAGAATTCGGAACAGTTGCTCAATGACCCAATAGAATTCGTCAAATTTTATTTTGTAATGCTGGATTTGGTAATAACTGAAAATTTAATGACCATGAACTGGTTAAATATCATTGAATAGGTAGTGTATATGTATATATACTGCTACCTAACCACCCTAACATTGAAAACCTTTATAATTATTATTTGAGTTTTTTTCCATGTTGGTGCAGTATATAAATCTATGGTATATCGGCAAAGCTGACTATTTCGCCACTTGTCTCAAGGTTCAGCATACTGTTTGAATACATTATACAAAAGTGGTCCAAGAACAGTTTCCTGGTTACTGTTTTTGATAAACTATGAACACCGTCAATGTTTACTATTTGTTTGCGGTTTGACAAGCTGATTTTCAGAATTTCATGATTGTTTTCTATAATTTCGTACTTTGAAGGTTTTATAAAGGCCTGAAAATTAAATAATTATTATTTCATTTTATCTAATGAGGTCGCATTATATATAGTATCTTCAGTAGATCCTCTGTTTCACCACGATATAGATTTTTTTGAAATTCACAAATTCTCATTTTCATTAATCTATCGATAAACCTTGCTATGCTAGAAGTGTAATGGGTCTATAGTTTCACCTGGTTGTTGTGCTTCCACTTTAATAAATTCATTTCATTATTCTATTTTATTAACTTCTGGGAAATAACCTGTCATTTTCAGCATTTTCAAGTTTCAGCCTTGATGTTAAATCCTGGCAGTTTTTTCATTTGAGTTTTTTGATTATCAATGGACCGTCGGTAGTCAGGCGGTTCGACGTGGTAAGACTTCGTTAATCCTTAGCTCGTACAAGTTTCGCCTTCTAAAGATTGTCGTTCGTAGGGGTGCGACAGCTGGTTAACGGAAAACAGATTTTTGAAAAACTTCCAGTAGTGGATTCTGATAATACAATTATTCACTTCTAAGTTCGTTTCCGGTAGCATTCATCATCCTTCAATATACCTATCAAAAAGCAAATTCATTTATGTTTTTAATTCCATGAGTAATACACCTTGAAAAAGTGCGAATGATAATATGTTATAAATTTTCAACAGTTACGGGTCAGTCCAATCATAACGTTTAGTAATCGCCTTTGGAAGTCTTTGACCTTTAGCAGACTGAAACTGAGCAATATAATAAACTAGTCTAATGCCTCAATCAAATATATGAACTATGTAGGTAGATATGATGTCATTTTCGCATGGTGGTAATGATGCAGAGTACGGAGAAAATTGTTACGTGCTCAGTCAGTCTGTACCAATTATCATTGAAATCATTTGAAAAGTATCCGTCTGCACAAGCGAGCCATATTTCATCAATAGAGAATTACTGGATCGAAATTGAGTAATATTCATATGTGTTATTTGATCTACAAAAATTCGTTTCCAAAACTTAAAATTCTGTATTGGATATAAGGTAATTCAAAAATTTCGAAACCACCGTTCCTGATCATCTTTCAGTGGAAATAAAGTTTATATATAAAAAGTATATGAAGTCCTGAATAACTAAAGTACGTTGCCAATTATAAAAAGCTTTTTTTTTCAATGAAACAAAATATATTTGGATAACTTTAAACGAAGAAACCTGAATTACCGGTTGGATCAACATGAAAGTTGAAGTACCTGAAAGAAAGGGTGTTAATTTGGTTTGAAATAACTAATGTTCATTTCTGAACATCCATCAGCATCAATACTAGAAGAGTGGATTTGTAAGCAACGAAAAATCACTTAGTTTCTAATTTTATTGAAATATAAGTGTCAAACTGATATTACAAATTTGGGGACGTTTCCAAAAAGAGGAAAGAAGCAATCAATTTCAAAAAATCAATATCAGAGATATATAGATTATCCAAAGAAATTATTTTCAGGCACAAACTGGAAGAAAAGTCTTTTCGAAACAGCTCATTTCATATAAACAATGAATTACGCATCTTTCTATACAGCTGATTTTCTAAAATTGATTACTTTCTTTTTTGTTTGAAAGATCCCCACATTTTTTTGTATGGAGTTGGAGAAGTAGAAAGCCAAAACCTTTCACTCCCAAAAATATTATTGATGATGGAAGACAAATCAATTCAACTATTTCTTTCGGGTTTTCATGGGTAATTTGATGTTCATCAGGAGCTCTATTAATTTTTCGAGAACAAAAAGCATCAATATTTTTTAAATTTTTCAATCATAATTTTCAATTTCATCATTGTTTTGGTCTTTTTTTGTGAATTTCAATACGAACTTTCATCTGGTTAATTCGCCTTTTGGATTCTACAACGACTGCGCCAATTACGTTTCTTCTCGAAGGAACTTTATTTTTAAAAACTATTGATTTAAAAACTTTTAAGAACTCGTGATTAAAATGATCTTGACAGAGTAAAATCTTCGGTAAGACTAATCTAATGTGCCCCCCATGCCCCCTCCCGGGTTGAGTGCCCTGAAGTGAAAGCTTCGCCCCACAACTAGTTTGCGAGGAAAACCTAATACTCCACTCCACCCACCCCCGCTCTCCGAGCGGTCCACAACTTACTGATGGGCACTTCAGCAAGATTGACATCTGACCTCTTTTGGTCGAAAGTCAGCCTTAGGTGCTTATACTTTCTGATCGTGTAAACTAATGTGTACATGAAATGTTCGCTTTCATACTGTCAAAGCTATCTACAAAACATTGGTTTATTGTTATCTTAAGTACCCTAAGGAATGTTTAATCCGTTTGCTGTAGCTGCCTGATGAGTCGATAAAGTATGATTCATTGCAAACTGTCCGAGTAGTTTACTGATGAATTTCACTAGTTCGGACTTCCATTGTCTACTATATAAAATGATTTGAAATCCCTGAAACAACTAAAAATGAAGTATTAGAAATGAATAGCTGAAAATAACAATTACATTAACCAAAATAAACCTGAAATGAAATAATAGTGAAATAAAATACAAGTAAAAATAGAACAATTGAATAAATAAAAATAAAGAAATGGAAAAAGAAAATAAAAATAAAAAGTGGAAAGATTCCAAGTCACGTTAGTTCACGACGTTTCGATTGTTAGTATCTATAATCGTCTTCGGGTGATGACTGGACTGATTCCTCCGAGAGATGACTATTTATAGGTCGTTCGAGTACTTTCACTTATTTCCTCTTTCCATTTTCCGCCTCACTGGTTCCGTGGGAGATGACCCGTTTTGGCGGGAGTTGGCCATTTTTCGCTTGATGATGTGTTTCCATATAGTGATATGGGTTTCCGTAGAAATACGCAACATATGAAAACCCATCATCAAGCGAAAAATGGCCAACTCCCGCCAAAACGGGTCATCTCCCACGGAACCAGTGAGGCGGAAAATGGAAAGAGGAAATAAGTGAAAGTACTCGAACGACCTATAAATAGTCATCTCTCGGAGGAATCAGTCCAGTCATCACCCGAAGACGATTGTAGATACTAACAATCGAAACGTCGTGAACTAACGTGACTTGGAAT